TTCTTTGCTTCAGTCTTCACTGCCAAGGCTGGCCCTCAGGCTTCCCAGTCCTTAGAGGTAAGCGAGCACGCCTGGAGAAAGGATGACATTCCCTCAGTTGAGGTGGACCAGGTTAAGGATTATTTAAGTAAGCTGGACAGACACAAATCCATGGGCCCCCATGGAATGCACCCACAAGTGCTCAGGGAGCTGGCAGATGTCATTGCTGAGCCACTGTCCATCATCTACGAAAGGTCCTGGAGAACAGGAGAGGTGCCTGAGGACTGGAGGATAGCCAATGTCACTCCAGTCTTCAAAAAGGGCAAGAAGGAGGACCCAGGAAACTACCGGCCGGTTAGTCTCACCTCTGTCCCCGGAAAGGTGATGGAACAAGCAAGTGGAGGAAAAGAAGGTGATAATGAGTACCCAGCATGGATTCACCAAGGGAAAATAATTCTTAACCAGCCCGATAGCCTTCTATGATGGCATGACCATCTGGGTAGATGAGGGGAGAGCAGCGGGTGGTGTCTACCTTGACTTCAGCAAGGCTTTTGACCCATAACATCCTCAGGGAAGCTCAGGAAGTGTGGGTTGGATGAGTGGACAGTTCTGCAGTAAATAATGAAGACCTCATCCTCCTTAGTGCTGAGATCTTGATCTTCTCCTAGATAATGCCCAGCAGATTTGCTGGACTGGGAGATAAGTCTCCAGCTTCTTCTGATGTGTGTCACTGCTCCCTCTGCTATGAGGATACTCACTGTGTATGTGAAAGTTTTTCTGTGTTGTGGCAGGGAATCTCAATAGCCCAGTGCTCAGACCATTTATTTCCTTTCAAAATCTATATGGCTGAATTATATGGCACAGAACAAATCCTTTATATTGAAATAGAGAAGTTCAATAAGGGCAAGTGTCCAGTGCTGCACCTGGGGAGGTCGAACCCCATGCACCAGTACAGGCTGGGGGCTGACCTGCTAGAAAGCAGCTCTGCCGAGAGGGACCTGGGAGTCCTGGTGGATGACAAGCTCACCATGAGCCAGCAGTGTTCCCTCTAAGAAAGCCAATGGTACCGTGGAGTGCATTAAGAGGAGCGTGGCCAGCAGGTCGAGGGAGGTTAGAGGTCCTTCCCCTCTACTCTGGTGAGACCCCACCTGGAGTACTGTGTCCAGTTCTGGGCTCCCCTGTTCAAGAAAGGTGAGGAACTCCTGGAGAGAGTCCAGAGGAGGGCAAGAAAGATGATTAGGGGACTGGTGCATCTCCCCTATGAGGAAAGGCTGAGACACTTGGGCTTGTTTAGCCTGAAGAAAAGACTGAGAGGGGATCTCATTAACACTTACAAATATCTTAAGGGTGCATGTCATGATGGCAGAGCCAGACTCTTCTCAGTGGTGCCCAGAGACAGGACAAGAGGCAATGGGTACAAACTGAAGCATAAGAGGTTTCAGTTGAATATGAATCAAGTCCAACTGTTAACCCTACCCTGCCATTCCACCACTAAACCATGTCCCTAAGCACCTCATCTACCCATCTTTTAAATACCTCCAGGGATGGGGATTCCACCACTTCCCTGGGCAGCCCATTCCAATGCTTGACAACCCTTTTGATGAAGAAATTTTTCCTAATGCCCAACCTAAACCTGCTCTGGCACAACTTGAGGCCATTTCCCCTTGTCCTATCTCCTGTTACCTGGGAGAAGAGACCAACACCCATCTCGCTACACCCTCCTGTCAGGTAGTTGTAGAAGGCGATAAGGTCTCCCCTCAGCCTCCTCTTCTCCAGGCTAAACAACCCCAGTTCCCTCAGCTGCTCCTCATAAGACTTGTGCTCCAGGCCTTTCATAAAAACCTTGCATAAAAAGAATATTTTTAGGGGGGACATGTGTGAGGATTTAATTAATTAATTTATTAATTATTTCACTTACTCTGTCGTTGGGGCAGAAATGCAGCTTGCTGCTTTGTGTCACTTCTGGACGCTTCTGGTCAGCACTCCGGCCACCTTCCTGGAGCCTGGGCAAGCAGCCCACGAAATGCTGCTCTCCACGCCAGCCCAGGCCTGAGGCAGCAGAGGGGAGAGCAGCTCTGTACTGTGGCTTCCTGCCGCCCTCGCCCTTGCCTTCGGTGCTAGCTACCTGGCTTCTCTTGCTGTTGTTTCCTGCCCAGGACTGGTACAGAGTGGGGTGGGGTGAGGACCCCTCCTTGGATGGAGGAGCAGTTGCCAGCTGGGGCTTGTCCTGCTTTCTGCTAGCAGGCGCCTCCGGAGCTGTTGCAAGAAAAGTATGGAAGAAGCGAGTTGCTTGCGAGTTGGGGGATGGTGGTGTTTGGGGGTTTTGCCTTGCAGAAGCTAAAGCAGTCATTGCTACCAAGATGTGTAGAATAATGAGACGAGGTAGTTTACGGTATCTAATCCATATTCATTTTCATGGGTTTAAAATTAGGTTAACCTTTATAATTAGCAAATCAAGGCTTTTAATAATCATCACCCCAGAGAAAAGGGACTAATGAAAAAAACCCCTAATCTTCCTTCTTTATAGATTCTATGCTAACTTCTTTTGCATATTTGGTTTGCTGCTGACTTCATAAATAACACCTGCTGACCATCGGTCAGCCTTCTCTTAGGCGGCTATTGTGTAAAATGTTTCTCTGACATCAGCAGTATTGCTGTGGCTGTGTTGCTGTAAATCACTTTGTGGGTGCTTATCAGCGTGTTCACTGCCAAAACAAATCTGGCAAGCCTTCTAACCAACCCAGTTTAACAAGCTGTGATAGCTGTATTTTCCACTCTAGCTGTTAACATTACATTGTAACTTGTTCATTTAGCTCAGTTATTATAACTTGTGCATTTAAGCTAATGCTGTGTCTGTATCTCTGCAGTCTCAATACTGACAATGAACTAACTCTCTTAAGGCATGCTAAGCCCTCTTCGGTTTCAGACCTAAAACCGTCCTACATGCATTTTTACAAAGCAAAAGTCATAACGCTTCCAAGCCTAATCTGCTACGCAAAGTTGTGAAGAGCTGTAGAGAAAGAAACAGAAACTCTCAAGGAATTCTTTTCTCCTAAAAAAAAAAAAAAACCAAAACCAAAACAAAACCAAAAAACTCATTTACATGAATGGAGAAATTTTTGTTCTTGAATTTTTTGTAAAGCTTTTCAAAGTCTGTCAAAAACCGGAGAAAGTACTAGGTGAAACAGTGTTTCAGTCCGTGGAAGGACAGAGGAAATAATGCATTTTAGCAAAACCAAAAAGCAAATACTTCTCAGAGGAGAGAAAAAGATTTTTAAAAGAAATGTCAAAATACTCTAAGTGGTTTGTTTGACCACTTTCATTTCTATTTTTACCCAGCCATACCTGTTGGCTCAATTTAATTTGAGCTTGTAAATACTCTCAGACAAACCAGGACTATATTTTAAACTTGTTTTTCTTGGTAGTCGATTTCATATTCACATGAAGACTCTTGTGTAGCAATTATTAGCATAATAGAGCTCAGCCATGACCTCCAGAAACATCCTCTAAAACTGAAATTTGCTGTGCATTTGAGCCATCTGCACCACCAAAAGAAAAGGAGCCCTTCCCTGGTCCCGGCTTCTTACTCAGCTTCTTTATTGTGAATGTTTCTGTCCCAGCATGAGTGCTGTGTGGATGTATGCGTGGGACTGGCTATAGATGCAATGGACAGACCCTTTCTTTTAGAAACATAGAATTACAGAACAGCCCAGGTTGGAAGGGACATCAAAAGATATCTGATCCATCCCTTTGTGCGAAAGGGAGCCTAGATGAGGTTATCTAGCACACTGTCAGACTGCGTCTTGAAAACCTCCAGTGATGGACACACTACCATGTCTCTGGGGGGGTTATTCCAGTGATTGATTGCTTCGTTGTAAAAAATTTCTTGTATCAAGATGGAGCCTCTCCTGGTGCAACCTGTGCCTGTTGCCCCTTTTCTTCTCCTTGTGATTCTTGTGCTGGGTTGTTTCCCTGTTACATGCACCCTTGCAGGAAACTGGGTGCTTGTATCAGCATGCTTCAGGGCTAAGAGTGAGTTGCTGGGAAGGGAGGACATCTCGGGCACCTTTGTTTTGTGGCACTGCTTCATTACACGGGCTTGCTGTCTGATGTTTTCTGCAAGATGGAATAGGCCAGAGGCCAGCAGGTGGGAGGAGCCTGACTTGCATTTGGGGTCCTTCTGCAGTCTTACTTGTTGCCGGCATGGTGCTCTTGGCTCCCTGTCCATTGCTTCCCACACTGCATATAAATACTTTTCCAGGCAGAGAGAATATTGCTAAATATTGCAGGCTGAGTTTGTGGTTAGCATCACAGAGCTTGGATGAAACTGCAGAAAGCCTAGGAAAAAAAATGTAATAACTTGGGGAGAAGGAGAGCTAATGAACCTTTGTTTCCTGTGGATTTGTGTCTTGAGGCACATGTCTTGTGTAGGTTTGCTGAGGCCTGGTCAGGGGGAGCATTTATGGTACAGCCTTTCCCCTCAGCCAGGGTCTTAAACGGCCTTCTTGCTTGCTCTGCTGCTTATTCCTGCAAAAAAACCAAAAATATTTTTGAGGGGGTCTTCCTTCCTGCCAAATGCAGCTGAAATTGGCTAATGATCTCAGAGTTAGCAGGGGGAGGCAGAAAGGCATGTACAGAGCATACAACTTGTTTGGAAACAAAACTACAGGCCTAACCCTTGGTGAACACAATCATGTGACATGAGGAGCTGGTTTGCCAGCAGGTATGGGAGGGGGGCGAGAAGGTTATTATCCTAGTGTTGCGTGTGGATGCCTCATCAGTGGGTGGGAAACTCTTAAAATGCAGCTTTGATTGGGAAGTTAAATCAGTTATCAGGAAAAGACTGCTATTCTGAAACAGCTTTGCTCCCTTTTGTGTCCCATAGTATGACTAAGGGACCCTGCCAACTGAGAGGAAAATAGAGACTTGGACTCTCGAATATTAAAAGCTCCCTGAGGCTGTCAGCGCCTCAGGGCCCTGATGCCAGCAGGGCTTCCAAATTGATTTAGAATCAAATGAAATAGCAGGGGGAGAGGCGGAGGCATAAATATTTTTCCCTTGCTAATTTATTTTCCCCTTTCATGCATGAGCTAATAGGATGGAAAGCAATGCAGCTAAAACGAGTGCATTTGTTGTAAGCTGTGTGCTGTGCTGCTCAGGGTTATGGTTGGAAATTGCTCATCCCATCACATTGGGCCAGTCCGTTCCTTCCCCTTGCTCTCTCATCACGTGCTCTAAGCAGCTCTAGAGGGAGGCAGACCCTGGGATGTCTAATGAACGTGGTGGACTAACAAGTGCAAATCTAGTCAGATGGTGCACAGAGTGAGGGCCAAGTTCTGTACCTGGTTTCATCATTGTGACTGTGGTTCAGAGACTCCACCTGCAAAAGGGAGGGATGTCACCTGTGCTGGGGAAAGGAACAGCAAAACGGCAGACTTCCAGCAGGATGTGTCATGGGATCTGTCGCTTCCTTCAGGAAGCAAGAGGGCTGATCAGGGTAGGTGCACCCCTGGAAAGGGCTTCACTCCACACTCCTTTCACTGCCTCTTTGAGAGACCCTCTCTGTGTTGCACCTTTACCTCATCTCCAGTATGTTGCCATGTGTGTCTTTTTAAGTTAAAACAACTATTGTAATGCATTTCTAGCTGTTAAGTGCCTTGTATTTTCCCATGGTGCGCGTCTCCTGCAAAGACTTCTCCCTGGCCTGCATGTTCCAAATGAAACTCTCATTTTGATGCATCTTCCATCTGCTTAAGTGTTGGCCATAAATAACAACATATTACAAAATTGCCTTCTTGTCAACACACAGATTGTTTATGTGTCATTTCCTCTATCCTTTGTGTTGCTGTAACTTCCTAGGGAAGGAGGATTTATTGGTATAGCAACATTCGGGAATGAAAGCAAATCCTATGGGGGTATGAAATAAATTTAGTCAATTTTTGGTACTACATTTTTATTTAATTTTTACGAAACGTCTTCTTTCCTT